AGGATTTCAAAATGGCATTCAGGCTGCCTGTGTTTAAAAGGTCCCTAAATGCAACTGCTCACATGAGGAATTTTAGTCACGTGATCAGTGAATACCCATGATGAGAAAAGCAGGGTAGGGTTAAAAAGAAGGGCCAAATCAAAGAAGCAAAATAATGTAATCAGTAAACACATAATCAATAATAAATATTCAAAAATGAGCTGGGGAAAGCATGCCCAGGCGTGGGGAGGGGGAAAACCCCTGGCTATTGGCACCGAAGTAGAGTGTGGATGGCATTTACTTGGAAGAAGGCTCATTTGTGAAAGTGGTTTACAGAAAGCCAATCAGAGCCCACAGGCAACGAGGCCGACTTGGTCCAATGGGCATCACCCATCCCTCCATCTCCAGCAGCACAAAGGCACAACAAGATAGGGAAGCTACCATCTGTACATAAACTGTATTGTAACTACAGATGCATAAAATCGTGTTAATATGCCTATGAGAACAAAGGCCTATGAGAAACTACAAGACGTGACACAGACACCTTAACCTTTCATTTATAAGTGAAAACCTTTGCTATCTTAAGGCTGAGCTACTAAGAAGTCAGAAACAATTTAGCTTATACCCATTTGTTCCCAAGCTGTCTCCATGAGGCTAAAAGTAAGTCACTGCTTTAAAAAGTCCATCTCTCCTAGTTAAAATTACTTTGGTTTCAACTTTATGAAATTAATATAATGTGGGAGACAGTGCAAAAAATTTTTGCCAGTCTCTGAACTAAAAATAGTTGAAATGACATATCTTTTATTTTGGAAAACCGGGGACAAAAAGATATTTCCAGCCAACAAGTGAGATGCCAAGTTTCTGTCAACTACTTGGTTTTAATTTGGAGAGTTAGAATTAAATTTTATATCTTAAAAAGTGTAGTTTTCAGAAAGAGAAATGATGTAAGGCTGCTGTAGGCAACTTTTAATCAGACTTCTAATTATGATTCTCCCAGCTCCTTGATGCTCTGGATTGAGTCTTGAGATTTCCTAACTGGAGAAGTTCTCCTGTCAAGGAAAAACATAGGGCTCAATGGACATGACTCGCCTAGGCCTCTCCTTCACATCAACCTTGACCTATGGTACAATGCCTCAGACCCATCTCACACCACCACATCCCTTCTCATGCTCTGATGGAAAGCAGGGGAAGAGAACTGTACTGAAAAAACCCACAGGAGTACTGGAAAAAACTGTACTGGGCACCAAGTTTATATTCCACATCAGTGGTTCTCAAGTCCTGGCTGCACGTTAAAATCATTTGAGAATTTTAAAGAAAATACCAGTAGGTCCAGGACCTACCTCTGACCAATTAAATCATAATTTCTGGGCCCTGGCATTTTTAAAAAACTCCCCAGGTAAGCGTAACGTGCAGCTGAGGTTAAGAACTGCTGTCGGCTGTGGGAGACAAGGCACAGAATAACAGGAACTTAAGCTTTTCATGGTTGGTGAGCATGGAAAGCTCACCTCTCCCCTGAACACCCCCAGTCATGTAATCACTGGATCACTTGCCTTGACATGCAGTGGTTACATATGTCTTCTGGCTTGCGGGAAAGATCTATGCAAACATAAAGGGCTGTAGCCCTCTACGGCCTGCCTTCTAGGGCAAAACCCTGGGTGAAGTTGACAAAATTCCTTTTTCTGTCAGCCCAGAAGGCCAGCAATAGGGACTGTTTCATACTCTTCCCTGAATCAGTGATGATGTTGAGCCTGGGAAGCCTCAGATCTAGGGAGCAACATTAGTCTTGAAGGGCCAAAGAATGTTAAATGGGCTCAGTCAAAAGAATAGTTGATGGTTCAGAGAAGGTATTTAATTTCACAATCACATAGGAAACCTCCAAATGGGGGGCAGGGGTGGGAGGCGGATTGGAGAGTCAATTTAAAACAGCATTCCACCCAGTGATTTTTAATCCCATTGGGTTCCATTCAGTCATCTTTATACTCAGTTTTAGTCGAAGGAGAGAGAAAGGCTCCCCTTAATAATCAGGCAAGAAAGCATCAAGTGTTTTCTGTCTTTCTTTTGGAAACAAGTAGGTGTCTACACGCTTGAATTTGTCACTGTGCTCCAGTTTTGCACACAGTGATCTATCTGGCTGGCACAAAGCTCACAGACTCAGTGCCCACAAACAGCTGCACCCTATAGTACCAGCAGGTGCACGGACAGAGCCCAGTGAAAAAATTCAGTGCAAGAACAATGGCGCCCTTATGAAGCCAAGGGACAAGGCCCAAGGCTAACCATTACTTCACTACATTTAATGACAGGAAGTACTGGAAACTCAGCCACAGCTCCCTGGGATTGGGCCTTCTCGTCCCTGAATTATATCCACAGGCACAACCAGGTAGAGCACCCTAGTGAGAGCAGCTATCAATTGTAGGGCCTGACTAACCAGAGAGTTAGTGGAATAATAAAAAATAAAATAAATAAAAAACCATCTAGAAATTGTATTCCTTCCCTTTTAACAAATCTTCTCCTCCCGTGGGCTGCATTGCCACAGTCACCAAGTTTACATTTACATCCAAATATGCACACACACAAAAAATTACCGATGCATCTCACTCCCTGGCGACTTTATAACAGGTTGCTAGGTAACAGTGCATACAAGTCAGGTTTCAGGACCTCTAGTAAGCCACCATAAAATAGCTGCATGGGCCTTTTGCATAAATAGTGTGCATTTGTTATCTGTTTTCTTATGCCGATTGATCAGTCAGTAAATACTCTCACTGCCAAAGCATAAACAACTTCCCACCACTAGCTAAATGAAAAAACAGATCACAGTACAAGGCTTTGGTGGATAGTCCTTCACCTCAACCTACCCCTTGTGTCTCTGCTGTTTGCAAAGCTGCCTCTATGCAGCCAAAAGCCTTATCTTCTGCTCCCTGAGACCAGGGATGGAGCTAATTACAGCCTGATGCCTGATGTGGGCACCCAGAGCTGAGCCCAGCAGGAGTAGGGTATCACATGCCAGTGTTTTAGCCAAAGACTTAACCTTCCCTTTTCTCCCCTCATCTTCCTCCAGATTTTAAAAAATCCCTGGTGTCATGGAGTAAAGGAAGTAACACCTTACTAACAGTTACTCACACACACCCCATAACGTCCCCCTTTCTAAACTATGCTATGTGATTGTGTTATTTGAATTTCTTCCCTTGGGAATGCCCTAGAAAAGCCCAGAAAAGGAGCCCCTTTTGCTATCATATTGGCAGGAGTGACCATCAAAGAAGAACCAGGGTTTCCCTGGGGGAGAAATCCTAAAGAATCAGGGCAGCAAAAGAAAAACTGAAAATATTCATTTTCTCTACATTTGAAAAAAATTTTAAACATAAAACCCCAAGTCTCTAAAATCACATTTCCTCCAAAACTGGAATAGAAGAGGGAGAAGGCAGGGGGGAAGAGGAGTAGAGAACCCACTGTTTTCAGTGCACTTAAATTCCTGTATGTTAGCCATCTCCAGCATGAGATGGCATTACTTCCAGTGCAGGTTGCTTTACTGTGACATTCCCTGCTCTCTTTTCTTCCTCAGTCCACTTCTGGGACACCTCCTTTTCCATCCCCTACCTTTCCTCATTTCTTCCCACTAGTGTCTCTCACTCCTGAGAGGTAAAGATCAGGGTGAGGGGGACATTCCAAGAGACCAGACTGAAGTGTCTCTGAGCAAAGGGACTTCAGAGTGAAGCTGAGCCTCTAATTCACCTGGCAATGACATTTAGTGAAATGCGACTCACGGTCCATTTAAAGGAAGGCGGTGACCAATTATTCTCCATTTAAAAGGGTATTGTCAATCTCCAAAGAGCTGAAATGGCATTTGGAAATCATCATGGGACTGCCATCTTCAGTGAAAGACAGAACCAATTCTCAACCGACCTTTCCCCACCCTCTACATCTCCTTTAAAATTTAAAATCATACTTTTAAAAATGTAATGAGTAGAAGCACAATCCTGCAACACATCTTATTCCAAAAGAGTCAGGAAAACAGCACTGCCTAACATCTCTATAGTCCTGTTCAACATTACGACTTAATCAAAGACATTGAAAAAATGCAAAAAGAAAAAGAAATATGTATAACTTGATGTTGATAAAAAATGATATCAATTAATAAGAATATATTTTTGTAAATTATACTCCATCTTTCCAAAGGGCATTAGGGCAGTTGGAAAAAAATGTTTTTGTTTAAAAAAAATTTTTTTTTAAATTCCACTTTACATGAGGTACCTAGAGTATTCAAATTCATAAAGACAGAAAGTAAAATAGTGGTTACCAGGGGCTGGCGGGGAAGAAGGAAATGGGGAGTGTTTAATGGGTACAAAGTTTCAGTTTGGAAAGATGAAAAAGTATTAGAGATGGATGGTGGTGATGGCTGTATAACACTGTGAATGTACTTAACGCCATGGAACCATACATCTAAAAATGATTAAAATGATAAATTTTATGTTAGGCATATTTTACCACAATAAAAAAAACCCTGAAAAAAATTGTTAAAGATAATTGTCATTTGCTCAAATTTTAAGTATACAATTTCTATTAGTAGTTTCTGTATATACGAGTATGTCCTTTAAAAATCTCCCAAATGAAGAGAGTAAAGAACTTGAATAATGCAAAACGAGGTATTCCACACAAGTACTTTAAAGAACCCAGCGCAGAAGAGACAAATTAAATAGGGACGAGGGTCACACAAAGTACCCAACACAAACCTGGCTCACCATGTGACCTTCCCCCCGCAGGTACCCCAAAAGGGAAAAAACCAGAAAGGAAATCCACAATCCCTATTGTTTTAAGGCCCAAGCCCAAGCAATGCCTACTTCCAAAGGATTGCACACACACAAAAATAAAGTCAAGGAGTCAACGTGTGAAAGTGCAGACTGTAAGAATTTAAAGGGACTTTGAGACCATCTAGTCCTACCAGCTTATTTCACAGATGAAAACACTTATAGAGAGAGAGACAGAAACAGAGAGAGAGAAAGAGAGCGAATACAACCCTATTCAAGTACCTGACAGCTTCATGAGAAAATCAGACGCCATCTTAACAGAGATGTCCTGGCTGAACAATGCTGACGCACTGTTGGCCACATACTCGGAGGGGTCTTTCAGCTTTGTGTGGTTGGTGGGCCTGTCGGCAGCGCTCAGGGTAAAGGAGGTGGGCAGGCCGTTATCTTCCTTGGGTTCCTCCTTCACCAGCAAAGGCGAGACGCCAGCCCCACCCTGGCTAGTCCTCTCTGGAGTGTTAGACGTCATCATGGTCCCCACTAGCTCTGTCCCTCCTCCTTCCCTTTGCTGCCCCAGGCAGGCACTGTCACTGAGGTGGGGAGATCCCTTGACATCTGGGTCTGGGATCTCCTCCTTCACCTTGGCTTCTGTCCTCAGGAAGTGCTGATGGCAACGCATGTGGAGTTTCAGGCTGAAGTGGCGTGAGGAAGTGAAAGGGCACAGCTGGCACTGAAAGGTCTCTCCCCGGTCCTGGTGCTGATGAACCTGACGAAGAAGCAAGAAGAGTGAGCTATCTACTGTGTGTCTATAGAAAATGCCTTGTTGTATATCCAAGCTATTCATCAATAACTTCCTCGCTGTGCCAAGGGCTGGCCCAGGTAATGAGGTCAATCCCTATACATCAAGTGAGTCCACATAGGTTAAGGGCCCATTATGAGAGCTGAGCTCACAACTGAGGACGCTGTCTGCCAGTGGATGCTGTTTTTGGTAAAATCTTCCTAATATTCTAGTCATCAGATCTCAATTGATGTCTTCAGAGAAAATATTATAAACCCAGCACAATGTGAACTTACATAATTATGAGTTGGGGGTCAAAAGAGGTAATTGGTCAAGTCATTCCTCTCACAGCAATAACACTTTTCATGAACCCAATTATTGTCACCCAGAGAATTAGTTATGTTTTGCAAACATAATTTCAATTTTCAAAATGCTGCTCTTAGGTAATTAACAATGTAGAAAATAATGTCTCCAGGGTATTCCCGTTTCAAAGACAGAGAAATTGAGACCCCAGAATAAGAGGCTTGTGCAAAATTACATACGAAGAAAGCAAAGTAGGAAAAAAACCAAGGTCTGACCTTCACCAAGTATTCTGAGCAAGTGGAAACCAATTTTTCCAAACGTGGCTATAATATCATGCTCCAGATTCTGATGTCTGCAATGAAAGTATGCAGACTTTTAAATCCAGTTCCAGTTTTGCACGCACACAATACCTGTAAAATTCGCCAGTAACTTTTTTCTTCCTGTCACTACCAAATTTAGTGCTTGAAAAAGTGAGGACATTGTTGCATTGGCTCGAGCCAGGCTTCGAGCTGGCAGGTGCTTATAAGCTTGTAACTTCCCCATTCATCTCTGCCAATGTACTTCAGTGCTGACCTGCTACACCCTGCTATTTCAGGACTAGCCCTCCCTTGAGTAGAAACTGCCAATTGTCTAGATTTGGGCCAAATGATCTGGGGAGTTGTGTGATCTGGACAAACAAATAAATGATTGGAATTCAAAAACCAAAACAAAACTGACACCTCATCTTTCAGGGGTGACCTAAGCAGGATTCGAACTCAGGTCTCACAGAGGTTAAAGGCTCATTCATTAATCCGCTGCACCACCTGGCCCCTCTGCAGAGGTCTCCTTTCCAAGAGAACAAGTTTTACTACAGCTGTTTATGCATTCTGAATGCAATCCAAAAGCATTATTCACCAGCCAAAACATACTTTTAAATAATGTTAAGTGACCAACAAAAGCAAAGAAATTAAAAGTTAATGGTGAGATCCTGTTGCTATAGCACCCCACTGTGGCTTTTTGAAAAAAACAACAAAACAGATTCTGGGTGCCCCAAAGCATGAGTTTCTCAACAGAGATATCCATACAAACTTGAATTCAGTTGCTGCAGAGTCCTGCTCATTAAAAGGCTTCCCCTCTGGCGGGCGAAGGGCTGTGGGTGGTGAAGTGCAAGGAGTGGGAAAATTCTGGCTGTTAACCTCACCCCTTTCTGTTCTTTCACAACAAAGGGATTTCACTCAGAGCTCATCATTTCACTTGCGTTCTCACAGAATCCAGAGATTCCCTGCCATCTCCTCCACCCAATCCCGGCAGAAGCAGGCACCTCAAGGGCCCCAGGTCACAGCCCCACAGAACCCTGACAGGTGCTGCTGAAAACACGCCCCGGAACCAGGTGGTAGAGGTCACGAGGCAGATCACTTCTGTTGTCCCCGAGAGCAGTGCAGCGGGGGCAGATTCCATTTCAGATGTGTCCTCACATCTATTGACCCAGGAGGGGAGAGGAGCTAATCCAAGAACAGAAGCTCCGGAAGCAGCTTCTGGAAGAAGGAGAAGGACAGAGAGAGATCCCAAGTTCCAAAATCTAAAGGGAGCCCTGGATGAGAAACAGTCTCTGTGCAAGTATTGTATGTGGCTTCTTTTCCACCAGATCTTGGCCTAGTTATATTTAGTTATGGAAAAATTAGCGAAAGTTTAAAGGAAAAACAGTGGGTGTTTTGTTAACCTTCGCACTTATAATTTTATTTGAGCTACACCTTCCCAAAGGGACTATATTTCACATTTGGCCTTTGTGAGAAGTATTAGCTCTATCCTCTGGTTGCAGTTTCTCTCCCGCTCTCCTGGCAGAAGAGCACTTTATATTCTCTTTAGCCTAACATTTGCTTAAAGTCCCCCTTAGTTTGCTAATGTGAAGAAATGCTTGTCTAAAGCATGCCATTCTCTCCAGGCCTGTTCAGAGACTCACTCACCCCTGGGTCATTTCATCCCAATGGCCCAGATCAGGCACTGTTACATCTTTAGGGCCATCTCCTGGTAGCAGTCGTGGTATTTAAAGGTTTGCAGAAACTCTGGGAAATATCTCCTCCATCCCCCTTCGTGGACCAGGCCAGGCAGGCGACGGCCTTAATGAGGAGTCACAGCTCCTTACATGGCAGACCCGAGACTAGCAGAACTCAGCGCCCCAACTCTTGCCCAGTTTCTTGCCATTATTTCACCCATGTTCTTTATTTTAGCAATCTGCCTCATCTTTTCTGTTCTATTTTAGCTTATGAATTTCACATTTAATTCCTGTAGGCTCACTCATCCAGGAAAGTTGTAAAAGACTTAATGGAAATTTAAGATAACCTTGAGGAAGCTGGAGGCATTTACAAGCTTCTTCTGTAGCTGGTCATTTTTGCACATAGGGAGGAAAGGCATGTTTTAAAAAATGTACAGTGCCTACACCTAGTAGTAATACAGTAAGTACTATATTTGTTGAACAAATAAAGTAGAATCCCATTTTTCTTAAGTAAATCTATATAATCAATAAAGAAGAATATACATCAGAACGATAATAATAGTTATATCTGGGTGATGGGATTAAGGGTCAGTTTTATTTTCTTTTTGTTTATCAGTTTTTTAAAATTCTCACAAAAAGAGAAAAGCAATGCAATTTATTTTAGATTTGTTATACCGTTTCATTGATTATTTCTAAATGTATATTCAGATGGCTTTCAGATAATGATTATTATTATTAGCTACATTTGCTGAATGCTGTTTCTCCATGCTGGGCACTATATTAAGTGCTTGATATGCATATCTCATTTAACTCTTATAACAACCCCATGAGATAGGCTGAATGATTATTATCTCCATGAGTGGGAACTGAGGTGTGGAGAGGTTAAATGATTCTTCCAAAGTCTCACAGGTCCTAAGTCATGGAACCAAGATCCTAACTATACTTTTTCTGACTACATAGTTTCAGATTTTAATCTTTGGCTATACTGTCTCCACTTCTTAGGCAGAATTCATTTTAGAACATCTATCCATATTTGTAGTCTCTAGTGAATGTAGCAGAGAATAGCTATGCATAAGACCATAGCCATTATACTTCTATGTAATATCTGCAAAATTTAGCAAAATTATAGTATGCCTAATCGAAATAAAATCATGAATTCTTTGGTTTTAAAAAAAGGCCAATAAGTGAAGTAGAGAGATGGGAAAAGAAAGTGTACACCTTTTGATAAAATTAAACCTGCATGTGCCCTTCTCACACTTCCCTTATCAAAAGCTCGAGTCGTAGCTCAACAGGTTAGGACACCATGAGTTTGAATAAAGTAGTAATTTCACACAACTGCTTTATTGTACTGGTTATTGATTTGTTCTGAAAGCATTCTAAGACCCCATGACCTGCAAAGCCCTTGCTGCTCTCATCTGTAACACTGCCATGGCCAACTGTCTGTATCATCAAGGCACCCAACTCATCTCCCTGCAGTTTCAGGGTCAGTAGTTCTCGCTATTGAAAACCCAGCTTTTTTTCCCCCCCAGCTTTATAAATAGGTTGTTTTAAGTGACCCTGAGCCGAAACCAAGCTTACAAGGTGTCAGGCTAGATACAAGTTTTCTGCTCACTGGAGCTTTAAATTCGCCAAACCTGTTTTCTAAACAGCTTAGGACATAGCAACTAAAACAAATTTTCGTTCTAAAGGCATTTCTTTTGAAGTCTCATTCTACTAATGAAATCCAACTTTGCAGGTTTAAAATATGGGTTTTTACTTTGAGAAGAGGTGGTAGAGGATGAGGAGGGTAAAAGTAAAAACTAAGCAGGCTCAGTAAAAGTCAACCAACTGGAACTCCTGGTTAAATGGATTCTGAAGATGAAGGGCATGGTACTCCCAGGAGAAAAAAGTAAATGATGGAAAACAAATTACATCATGAATTTTATTTTTTAAAATCTTCTAAGCTATTTCTTAAAGTCCGTAAAGGTTCTGTCTGACCACATTTTTTTAGAGCTACAATACAAGACCAGTGATTACTGGTCTATTCAGAAGGATTAGACTGCAAGATTTTGAAATGAGCAAATATCTTAATTATGTACCTACACCACACTTCTTATGGCAGGAAAGAAGACACTTATGAATAACATCAATAGCCAAACCATATTGAAAATATCAGTGAAAATATGATTGTTGTCATTATTAAGATGTTCAATAATAATTAACATTGAATAATTACTATTGAACATTTCTGTCAAACATTTTGTTAATATTATCTCCTTAAATACTAATAACACTTTCAGACAAACACTATTGTTCCCACTTAGATGAGAAAAATTGAGAGCTTAAAGGTTAACTTGCTCAAGGCTAATAAGTGGCATAATAAAATTTAAATCCAGGTCTGTCAAATTCAAAAGCCCATGCTCTTTTGATCTCATGAGTTTCCTCCTTGAATTTGAGATAAAACCCTTAGCACGAACGGGGTCTGCTAACTAGATGTCTATATGACTAAGTTTTGCCCCATCTCACGTAAGAGTGACATAGGTTCTAGACAGTCCTCTACATGCTTATTGCAGGCTCCAGCTCCCCAATTATTTTTAATAGGACATTGAAAATGATGTCCTTGGATATTTAATAAATGTAATCCTGGGAGTTACGATAGTGCAAACGCTGACAGACTCAAGGAGGACTCTCCGTCTTGTTAGAAATGGCCCCTAAGCTTCCCCCAGGACAAATAAAGTTAAAGCCCAGGTCTCTTTCAACCTCTTGTAAGGTGTCTGGGTGTTCTTTGGAGTCTGCAAGCTGGGGAGTAAAGCAACAGCAGTAGAGGGCAGTCTCTCCAGGAAAGGGCACAGGTCCAAGAACCCTTTCTTTGGTGCTCAGGTCCAGCAGCTCTTCCTGGACTTGGCTTTCCCTGCTTCTGGCTCTTTCTCAACTCTTCCTCCGAGTGTCCTCAGAAATGCATCACCACACAAGGCCAAGGTAGGTTGTTACTCTCCTATAGGACAGGATGGCTCTACACTACATATATTATTTGGTTATTGAAGATTCTCTCTGCCGTTAAGTTCTTGGCTGTAAAGTGCACATTAATACCTTTAAAAGAAGACACTTTTCAAGGTCCTTCATTGACGTTGACTTCTACCTTGCTACCTGAGCATTGTCATCCGCGTGACCCATCAATGGCGCCCTCTATCGGCCGAGAAGCCTCCTGCACGGGACTGAGTGCAAGAGCCCCGGCTGTGCCTGTCTCTCCCTGCGGTCCGTCTGCAGGTGGCTTACCTTCATGTGGGATTTGAGATTGTCCTTGCGAGCACACCGGAATGGACAGAGCGGACACTGATGGCTTTTTAAACCTGTGTGAATCACCATGTGCCGCTTCCAGTAACTCTTCCTTTTTATAACCAAACCACATATTGGACACTGGAAAGGCTTTCCGCTTTCCTCTTCTGAGGCTTGGAAGAAGGAGAAAGAAAGAAACATTAAGGAAACAAAAAGGTACATTCCATCCGGCACTAATTCATGTGCGTTGCTATATCCAGAGCACTAAAAATGATTTGGGTTTTTTTTCTTAGCAATTCCAAGATCTTATCTGTGAGGAGGTTTTATGATTGCCGTTCTTCAGGTAGAAGCCTACATTCATCTAGTTTCTTCTATCTGGGTTCCATTTTCCAAAATCTGATCCTCCTGCCTTGTGAAAGTCTCCCTTCCAAAGGCCATCCCACCCTTAGGAGGACATTTGCAAAGTGGCTTCTACTGGCATGTCCGAGCTCAGGGCTCAAAAGACACCGTTTGCAGAGAAGCCTGAGTTCAGAGGCTTTGTTTCCTGAAGGAAACTGCCAGACTCAAGTCTGTATCTGAATGCCTGAACTTGGGAAACAGGGAGAAATAAAGACAAATAAAATAGGAGAGAGTAACACTGCTCCACACTGAAAACCAAACACCTATCATAAACCTCACACACGAACACCAGTGGAGACAAATTTTAGGATCCTTACTGCTGACTTGTTTAGATGTGGCTTGAGTAGACGCTGCTGCCAATTTAGCCATCAGGGGGTCCTAAGGTCAGGGTTTTTTACCCTCTTATTTCTGTCCCTCTGGTTACCGCTAACAACATGCACTGCCTGCCTCTGCACTAGACTGGGCCTGACTGCCTGCTTTGGGAAGAGCTACAACCAGACCACCACAAATGCTTCTGTTTTTCAAGAAAGCAAATAAACCAACTACCTTCTCCAAGGAAAGCTGAGGTCACTCTCTTGCACCATCCCCAAAGAGAAGGGTCACACTTACCTCTGCAATTTTGGGACACAGGGAATAAAAACACGTAGAGTCGAGGACTTAGATGTTCCTTTCTTAATCATGAGGAACCAGAAATATATCCAAACCATTTAAATAAGTTATAATACACTCATAAAATAAAATACATAAAGCCATTTTTTAAAATGAGCTAGATCTATAGATGCTGATATGGAAACATGTCTGAGTTAATGGATAAAGCAAGTTACAAAACCAAATGTCAAGGGTGATTCTATTTTTGTTTTCTAAAAAATGGGAATCAATTGCTGCTTAAACCATTAGGTGAAAGGTTGATAGGGAACTTTATAAAGGATGGATCAAGCTGACAACACTTCAAATGACTGATTAATCTTAACATCACTAAAAATGGGACAGATATTATGTGCCTTTTGATGTGTCATCAATGAAATATTCTCATAAAAATTGAATCAAGCCCCTATTTTGCAGTTTATCAGAAATACAGGTGATAGAAAAAAATGTCAAAAATGCTAAGGGGATGGTATCAGCTGAATCTAGAATGTGGAAATTCCTCAGGACAAATGACCCAAATGACCCAGTTTCTTCAACAGGCAAATAGCACTTTAAAAAGGGAAGAGGTTACTGATAAAAAGACTTAAGAAACATATAAAACAAACACACGGTGAGAAGCTTATTTGGATCCTGTTTAAATAAAACAACTGTAAAAAGGCATTTTTGAGATAATTGAGGAAATACTGATTATAGCCTGGGTGTTCCATAATATCATGTAACATTTGTTAATCCTGTTAGGTGTGGTAATGGAATTGTGGTTATTTTTTAAAGTCCTCATCTGTTAGAGTTATATATATGAAAGTATTTACAAGCAAATGGATATAATGTCTGGGATTTGCTTTAAAATACTCTAGCAAAAAGAAGAGAGAGAGAGAGAGAGAGGAGAGAGAGAGAGAAGAGAGAGAGAGAGAGAGAGAGAGAGAGAGAGAGAGAGAGAGAGAGAGAGAGAGAATTATATATTTTTATTTGCATGAAAATTTTCTGGAAGCATACCCAAGAAACCATTAAGCAGTTACCTTTGAAGGATTCTGGATTTCAAAGGAAGGAGTCAGGGAGAGAAACTTGTGTTTTCATTTTATATCCTTCTATACCATTTGATTTTTTAAACACACACATTACTTTTATAATTAAAAAAAAAACCCAAGTGTATACTTTAAAATAATCTCATTATTTATTTATTGAGTCAATTGAGTCTCTACATGCAAAGAACCACTTAAAATGGATAGAACCAGAAGGGTTCTGGAATAAAGTTAGGGCATTTCAAAAATGCAGTTTTACTAATATAAGTGTAAGCAATATTGGTTAGTTTAGCCAAGTAACTTGAAAAAGAATTCTCTAACTAACGGTATGCTCTTCCAGTCTGGAAATTCCTCTTGCAAGGTGTTCCATTGCAAGTATTTCCTCTTTTGATTAGTGGGTGGGATTGAGGGCTTCCTTTCACCCAAGGAAAAGCACACCTTGTGAGACTGGTAAGCAAGCATTATTATTAACCCCCCTAGTTTTCCTGCTGTTTGTTTTTGTTGATTGTCCCTGCTGACCTGGAGTAGTATCCCCAGTTTTGCCTCTCATTTTCTATCCTTCATTGTCATTTCCTCCACCCTAATATGTTGATCACAAAAGCTATGTTGAAACAGATTTGAGAGAGAGGACTGAATCAGGCCTCTGGGTGAGATTACTGTCATACACAAGAGGGAAAAAAATGATAATGATGTCTATTTTGGGTTGTAAGAACATCAAAGTAATAAGAGAGGGATGTACAAACAGGCTGCCACCGGTCCCCAACTTCAGGAAGTATTTCTCCCTATGAAAACCTTAAACTGCCTAATTTCACAGAACTGTCTAGAAGAGGAAAGACTCAGATGTCCTCCATTGACCTGAGATTTCATGACACATCATAGGAAGGCAATAAAAAGGCACTAACCGAAAAAACGAACATTGCCGGCTTCCCCTAACACCTTGCCTTGCCTAATGTGACCAACGTGCTTCCTATTCTTTCCAACACCCCCAGCCCCCATCCTAATTGTGATTCTTTACTTCAACTGTATCACCGAGTATACTGCATTAAATCCTGCATATTAGTATTTCCCATAAATCCATTTCATTTTGGAGCTATGCCTCCTTAGGTTTAATTAATACCAAAATACACGTGAATTGTATACAAATTAGGGTGTCCTTGGATTGACTGGGGAAAAAAATACTTACAATGAAGAGAAACTAACTGCAAGATGTGTGGTCAAATAGCTAGGCTACTGTAACATTCAAAAATGTTAACTAATCATGGCAAGAAAGGAAGAAGACAGAAGCCAAATGATAAAAATAACCAGAATGCAGTGATCAAAACTTTCAAATTTGGTCAGTAATCTCCCCTGGTAACATCTGCACTTGTATTTACTCAAGAAATAAATTTCATATTTTAGTAGAATGCCCTCCTTATGTATATGATGTTGTTAACTACTTTAGAGAAGGGAGGAAGTAAGGTTGTATTCTATTTTGTATGCCAAACTATTTTCAGGGAACTGACAGCTGTAAATTTCACTCAAATTTGGAGTGAAAGGAAATATGACCACTTCCTCAGAATGAACCACCCATTCTTGAGGCAACAGAATTGAAATGTTCATAATTTTACCTAGTTTACAACTGCCTGATAAACAACAACCCCTAATTGCAAACAAAACTAATTCTACCAAATGCTAATAGATCCAGTGTGATGGATAGCTGCTAATTTGTTCCTTTGGAGAAAACATGTTCTTCTTATAGGCAATAATATTATTGGAATAAAAGAGATAATAAATGTATGTAAAGTGCCTGTCACACAGTAAATGAAAGCTATTGGTTGTAGTAGTTATTGTAGTAACAGTGACAGGAAAAAAACTCTAGACATACCCTCCAGAGCAGAAAACTCACCATCAGTGCAGATGTAAATTTAAACAACTGACACCACATAATAAATACACAGCTCAGGGCCTGGCTGTGTAGTTTGTCACTGGAGCCAAGAGGAAATAAAGGAACAGGAGGCCACTGTGCTGCTCTGCTAGGGTCCGGTTCAGCCTAGAAAAAACTCTGGTGGTCAAGTCCAGCTCAGCATAGAAAAAAAGAGACAAGGGAAAGACAGAAGGGGAGAAAAGATGGGAGAAGGAGAACTGGCTGGGACGGGGCCTGGAAGTCCTTACCTTTGAGTCTCCAGCAACCCAAACAGTGCCAGGTATAGCATATGATTCAATAAATGTGTGTTGGACAATAATGAGATTAAGTGAAAAGGGCTGTGTCAAGAGAACAGAGAAAAGTGAAACAAATGCTGGAAATGGAAGAAAAAGATGCAGGAGGCTGCCAGTAAGTCCCAACAGAACTAGGGTGTTAGCCCAAGAGTGTATGCCTTTCACACAGTACGCCAGTAGACGTCCTGAAGGAATGGATGGATACACAGATAGATGTTCATGTACTTACACCTCATCTATATCCAAAAATGAACTTGGAGCAGCTTACATTAAAAATGCATACAGTGTGACACAATGATACACGCTGAACTATTATGACGGACAAGATCTGCCCAAGGCAGAGATGACCTTGTGGAAGGTTTGATAGTGAATTTTAAGAAGCAACATATTTCATTCAAAAATAGAAAAAAAAAATTGGTTTGAGTTAATAGACAAATAGTGTTAAAAAAAATAAGCAGTGTGTAAAAGCCAGGCATTTTAAAACAGGAAGGAATCTTGGAGATAACTCCAAACCAGCTCAGTTTACAGATGAGAAAAGTGAAGTGAGGTGGTGTGCTACAGGTCCCTAGTTAGTGGCCAGGCTGGGAGTACAGCCAATCTCTTCATTTCCAGTTTGACGCTCTACACTATTGTCTATACATAAATTCACAAAGCAACAACAACAAAACTTCACTGGGCTAAAAAATTTTTAAATCATGGAGGGTTTAGTAGCTGAATTGTTTTAACTCAAGGCAGGTATTTTTTAAACAAATGTAATTGTTTTGTGGGCTTTGAAATCAAACTTTCTTTTGTTGGATCCTATGTGGCAATTTGCAGGTAGTGAAGACAATTTGCAAGTGGGTAGTCTCTGCATACAGACCTTACCCTGCACACAGAAGGAAATCAGGATGCCAGGTGACCCTGCGTATGCATAATCTGTGCATCATCACTGTCTACGCTAGACCTACCAACACTACTGTGCACATCTGGGTAGGATGATGACTCATGTTCCTTCCTAACAATATATATGGATTTAATACCTTTTAATGGAATTTCTTGAGCATTTCTCTCAAAAGCTACTTCAGAGCAACAACAACAAAAAACTATGTTAGCAATGGATATTACTGGGTTTATCTATTGTTATTGACACTGACATTATCAATGCATATTTTAACAACTAGTAAGTATTCAATAAAATAAGAGAGCAGTCTGATATCTACAGCCAGTCTAAGTTTAAGACATTGGGAAAACATAACTGAGCTTAGCAATAGATAGTTCTGAATCTCAGTTAAAAAGTAAATTTCCTAAATAAGTTCATGTATAGGATCATAGATTAAGGCTATAACAACCATGGACCTAAAGAGAATATTAGGAGAAGTTACCTCCTTCTCTGGGCTTTCTATGCTTTTGTAATAATTTTAATGACATCACATAAATATGAAAAAAAAACAAAAACAAACAAACAAACAAACAAAAATGGCAGCCAGAAAACCCCTATATATTGACACAGGAAAGAAATATTCTTAGCTCTCAGAAAAATGAGACCAGGTTGCTTCTAAGCATATTTTAAATTTTATTCAGAACAATAAGATGTCTCGGAGACCCACTCTCTGAAACACTCCCTGTTATTTTTTTTTTAACTAGGAGTCTGGACATCCTGAGAATTTTGTTAGCCTTCTACAAGAAACTTTAAAATAAAAACCATTTATTTTATTCTCAGCAGCAACAGAACAGCAGCTTCAAAGAGAATTGAGTCAATGTGTGACATTTATCTTTATAGCAAACGGACATAATCTTCCCTCTATCATGTCCCCATTCAGAGGAGCAGCATAGCATGTGCTGGGGGCACTGGGTCACATGGAAGAAACCTCCTCCTCAAGTGTCACATCTCTCTCGAGGGGCAGAAAGGCTATCGAGGGGTGGACTCTTTAAGGAATTAAATATACCACGACCTGGCAACAACTGAATCCTGTTCAAAAAAGGAGACTAAGGCCAAACCTAAAAGACACTTTTTTTTTTTTTTTCATGGTTTGGACTTCCCTTGACCTAAAGAAGGTCAGAGAAATATCTGGTGTCTAAATTACTCAAGACAGCATCAGATTTTCTAGCACATATCTCTTTGTAACTCTAGAATCAACTTTATATGCCCTTTTTCCAATATTTTGAGAAATAGCTTTTTAAAAATGTAAGTCTTGCTTGAAATCCTGAGTGCAGTTCATTTTTGTGACTTTTTTGGGGGAGAGGGGGGCATTATTTGTTTATTTAAGTCATTAGGCAACAGAAACTCCTTGCTGTGAGAAGCCAGTCCACCTATCTATTTTGAATTAAACTAAGATTTCTTTCTAAGGTAAAGGGAAAAATAATAATGAGAAATGTTTAGAAACATGAGTGACAGCTCTCTCCACATTCCCATAAGGCTTCTAGGTAAAGCCAAGTTACACCTGGATCCAGACCCAGGGTTGCCCTGAAATGAACAGCACAGTGCGTGGAAGGGTGAGGGGGTGGGGAAGGGGACAGATGGAGAACACCCACCTTCCTTTCCACTCCTCAGATTCCAAAATCAGTGATCCTGAGTAACACTAAATCGTCTCTCCATGATATAAAGATAAATAACAAAATTAGATATTCTAACCCATCTCTTATCCCATAATCTAGCTGGGCTGCTGGGAAGTAAGTGACAACATTCACTTTAACTGAAAAGAGCACAGGTGTCCCCTTTCCTATTTCCAATCCATGCAATAATAAACAGAACTTGAATTTAAGATGTGTCTACATGGACCCATGGAATATTTTTTGAGTAACAATTTCAAGGGCCCTCGTGTTTTTCTTTGCAGTGATCTTTCCTTTTGTGTGAGTTTTACAAAATGAATGATTTTTTACGACAGTTACTTCGTCAATGGAGCTGCTTCACCAAGTCTTGGAGTGTGAACACAGTCATGTGGAAAACAGGGGTCAAGGGTGAAGAATTAGGTACAAGTCAATCAGCAAGGAGTTATATAGCCCAAATTTGGGAAGTTCTTTTCTCTCCTCTTTCATTTTGAACATTCATTGATTAAAATATTAAGTGTTTCAGCAATAGAATAAATTTAGTAAAAGAAAAGAAAAAGCGATTTCTTATAGATCTCCCATATTAAATTCTGCTGACAAGCCCATTGACATGTTGGCATGGATTAAGTGCATTTAAACCAAACAAGGAACAGAGCTTTTCCCTCAGGTGTATGTCCTACAACAAAACAAAGTCTACCCTTCACTGGAAGCTCATGACCTCTTTCTCATCTTTACATGCATCTAGTCATTTTGAGTGAAAAAAATTACATTTCACAACTATTGCTGGTTACACCAAAGACCACTTTAAAAATGAAGTCGCTATAGTTGGGCCTTCAGTTGACACTATTTTATCAGTTACTTATTTCCAAGTCTTCAGTCAACTAAAGTTTACTATTAATTTTATATAAGCTTTTCCAAGTAACTAATGTCTAGATAAACTCATACTGTAAACACCACTCATACATGTATTCAATAACTAGATGCAGAGAATATTTATAAAGTATACTTCACAAATAGCCCTACCTCTCTGTCTGCCACTACTCCTAGATGTAATTTCTTTAAGTCACGCGTTGTTTATACCATTGCAAAATTACCCAGCTCCTTTTGCTCTTCTCCTTGTTTGCTAATTTTAGCCATTTCTCACCTTATTTCACCAGGTGGCAAGAAAGAAATGAAGAGAAAGGAAACTCAGAACTGATAAGCATTTCAGGATTTTATTGACACTTTGAAAACTCTGGAGTGGACAGTTTGGATCACTTAAAGTCATAAAAGTCCCAGATATCCATTTTCCTAGTTCTATTCTGCTATTTACACAAGTTTTAAAGTAATTATAATTAGTGCATATAGCTCACTCAGCAATTTAAATGGAAATTTGTCATAAAAGCATCAGATTGATGTAAGCTGTGATCGTTCAGTCAATTATTTGCCATTCCAAGCACTCTTCATCAATGTTGCTGCAAATAATCAAAAGTTGGCTAGACACACACAACGGCAGTGTTTATACTGATGAGGACACACATAGCCTACTTCCTGTTTCAGTCTGGCAGGATATCCTTGAAAGCCATCTGAAACCCCATACATCCATTCCCGGGAACGTGTACTTATTATGCACACAATTTTAAAGCAAACCAGTGCAAGAGATGGATGTTTTTCCATTGTGAGAACTCAAATGACTAAATTTCTCCCTCAGATGAATAATTGTGAATGCCAAGGCTCTATGTGACAGCAACTTCTCTTTTGAAAAGACTGTCTCCACTAGAAAAACTTATGATTCAATTTTCCATATGCATATTCCTTCAGAATCTGATTGGATTTGAATAATACAAAGCATTTGCAGGAAATGCTTTGATTATGTTTGATGGACAGTATTTTGTAGAGTTCTTATATGACAAGAAATTATAGAAGAATGGATAAGTGAAAAAGGCTTAAATTTCACAAAAAAGTAATAAAATGCTAACAATAAAAGTATATACTGTGACAAATTAGGGCAGAGTAGTTACTGATTATACAAAAGTCCATTTGTGATGGAGGCAGCAGGAGGGTGGGCTCTCCCTTGTCCACTGTTTATTTCAAAAGCAGTGCGTTTTCCCCCCTATATTCAGGGATGGCATGCACTCCATGACAACGATGCTTTGATCTTCCCCCATTAAATATATCTTGTCTGGACCCAGCCCGAACTTGGTAAGAAAAAAAAAAAATCATTTGTATGAAAGGGAGGGAGTACTGTATGTCTCTAAGATTATTCATTACCTTTCAAAAATGAAGCTATTTGTGAAGTCTTTGTGTAATACACACATGAAAGACTACTATGCTGCTTACTTAAAGTATTTTGTTGTACTCTTGCTTTTTTGTTCCTGCCTCTGATCTGATGGAGAACCCAACCGAAAAAGGCAATGAATAAGACATCGCAGTTTACAGTCAAAAAGATTTACACGATGATTGAAAGAAAAGTTTCCATACCTGGATTGGAGGGCTTAGAAACTCTTCCCTTAGGAACTGGGAGTAACAATAATTCCAAGGATTGTGGCGGCGGCGGTGGAGGCGGTGGAGGTGGCGGGGTTACTTTCTCTGGCTTCTTCTCTGAAGGCGGTGGCGGGAGAGGATCCTCAGGCAACAGTGATGCTTTCTCAGCCAGAAGGCTCCCAGCAGCCCTCGCTGCTACCTCTTTTAGAAGGGCCGCCGAGGAGGTCATAGAAGCCAGGGAAAGGAAAGAGCTGGCCGGAGGAGGGTGCTCCTGACCAGGAGTCAAACTTCTCTCACTGACTTTCTTGGACAAAGCTGCCAAGGTAGAACTGGCAGACTGGGAGCTAAAAGGGGAGGAAAAGGACTCAAATCGCATGGTGTCCTCAGTCCTGGTGAGAGATTTGTCCTGCAGAACGGCATTGGCTGCAGCTTTCAGTTTTAGGATGGCTGAATCCGGAGACAAGCCGCAGGTGGTGGTTGAGTTTGGCAACCACTTACCTTGATTCCATATAAAACGGTTACTTGGAGTGTATTGGTCATTCTGTTCTTGCTTCTCAGCCAACTTCCTGGCCAGAACACTAAGCTGCTGGGCGTGATGGGACGGTGGGGAAAAGGAGAGATTCGAGCCAACGTTTATGGGGGACTCCACTCTGCCATTGGCCGTGGTGGTGCCTTCGAGTTTGAGGGAACCAGCCTCTAGCAGCCGCCTCAAGTTGCTGCTCAGGGGCTTATTGGAACCTGGGGGGTCGTCCTCACACAAAGAAGTCACTCCGGGGGAGAGGTGATCTTGACACTGCAGTGAGTCTCGTAGGAGCTCACCGTCCAGTCCCACCAGCTCCAGCGTATGACTGCTGGGAGTTGCGCTTCCCAAGGAGGTGTCTGGGGAAGTAGACTGCTCCTGGATCCGGTCCTCCAGAGACAGCTTATAGTTCTCCTGGACTTCTCCATAGGACGCTTCTGACGGAGTCTCTGAAGAGTTTCCATACCAGTGCTCTCCTTCACTGAGCTCTCCCTCCGCCTCTTCCTGCCTACTAACATCTGGGGGGAATTAAGAAGATCAGGTTTACTCCCAAAGTGAGCAATAAGCAAGTCTCAGGACATTCAAATGGAGTTGATGACATGCTTCCTTTTCCCTTCCACCCCAGAACCAAATGAAAGACAGCAACAGCCTTAGTAGAATGTCAGGGGCTACAGCAGATAGTCTTGGCAGAAGCCTGGAAAAGGTAAAAATACCAAACTGCCAATGGTAGAAACACACCCATGCACCACGTATATTCATCTTTCCAATAATTATTCCAGATACGTTGAAATGGAAAAGAGAAACATGGATCTGGTAAAGAAGTAATTGGATGAAGAAACTGCTATTTTCAATGAATAAAGGAAACAGAAAGAAGCTTGTACACTTGTAAGAAAAAAGCACTTCAGCATTGTGTCAGAATGAGAGATGCTGCCTGCTGGCATAGTGGGAAAATGTGGACATGTGACACTAGACAGCGGGAAGCAGCTTCCCCACTTCCTAACTCCATGACCTCAGGCAAGTCACTTGAGAATCCATTTCTTCCAATATAAGATGCAATTAATTTTTCAAAAAGCTTATCAAAAAATGTAAATAATACCTGCCTAACTCACTTCACCAGTTATTAGGAAGCTTAAATCATAATAAGCATGTGATCATGTTTTGAAAACAGTCAAGTACTATGTAAAAATCAGATCTCATTAACAACGCTATTCACATTACCGACTTCTTACTGTGACAATATCTCCCATGTTATGCATGCTACTTGTTTGAGAGTCCTCCATTCCAATCGCTAACATGCCTGCCATCTTATCACAGGCCGTGATTAGGAATTTGTTCCCTCAAGAACAGAGTTCCCTTTAGTATTTTCTACCTGTTAATTTACTGATCCACCACCACCACTCCCCGACCCACCCAAGCACCAGTCAGGCAGTACTCCTTCCCATTCCAAGAGTTCTCATGAGCTCTATCACTTTTCTACCTTTGCTCATCATATTCCTTCTATCTGGAACGTCTTTCTCCAGAAATGCTGACTATCCAATTCATCCTTAAACACCCAGCTCAAAGGTTTCCTCCTTAAGATTCTCCCTAGAAATCTCAGTCAGAATTAATCTCTCCTTCTCATTCATTCATTTACTCATTGAACAAATAATTATGGAGTACGCCAGGCATTGTTCTAGATTGTCTAGATTGTTCTAGACTGAACAACATTCAACAAAACAAATATCTGCCTTCTTGGAGCTTACATTCCAGTGGAAGAAAACAGTTGTTGAACAAAATTGATAGACTGGTAAATCATATAGTATGCCAGAGGGTGATAAGTACTATGGTGTTGGGAAAATGGAACAATTTGGTCAGGCTCCCCTCGCCTTGGAGTCAGTTCAGGGTGGTTGGGTAACATTGTGTGTGTGTGGGTGGAGTGAATGCACCCGCATGGCACCATTTTGGCTGGTGTTTACTGCCTTGGGCGCCCCCCTCCCCCCGTGCAGCCATGTTTTTCCAGACTGCAGCTCCCAAGGACCGTGTGGCTGGTTGCCTAGCTCACAGACCGGTGTGAAGGGCTCTGGTGACCCAGCCTGGTATGAACTCCTGGAGGGTTTTGGGCAGGGGAGTGATACAATGTGACTTACACTGTCGAAGGATTGCTCTAGCTGTTATGTGGGTCTCGGACTGCAGGCATAAGGAGAGGAGGGGAGCAGCCAGGAGGCTGGAATCCAGGTGAGGAATGACAGTAGTTCAGCTCAGGTGACTGCAGAGAGTGAGAAGTGGTCAGATTCTGTGCATATTTTGAATGCAGAGCCCACATTCTCGTGTTTGTTTATACTGATTTTATACCTCTCTAAATTATCTGTCTACTATTGGCTTCCCTTCTTTTTTTGTGTGTTATCAAGAAAACATAAAATATCAAATGGAATTTGCTGAAGAAAAGCAGATAAAATTGAATTTTCTCTGTTAAAAGCAGTCTGGTTCCTAGCGATTTGCCACATTTCCTTCTTCCCACATGATTTCAACATTTTTCTTCTTTCCTAAAATCGGCGGTGACCCTGAACTCCTCATCTCCCCAATGGCTTCTTATAGAGATGCTTTTTAGCAAACACCAAGTAGTCAACATCAATTTCAACAATAGGGCTAATTTTATGTTACTTTAGCAAACCACCTTTCTTGATTTCAGATTAAATATCTCATCCTTTAAGAGAATCACATGGGAAGAATCCTATAAATAGTAAGAGAAGTAAATAAAAATCACTACAGTAAGAATTAGTTGAATATATCCTCGAAGAATCTCTTCTTTGATCTTTATTGACACTCATTAAATGAACTAACAGGAAAATATATGATTCAAAATTAAATACTTTTAGATAATATCTTTGGAGTAGCCCTGGATAGTCAAGATCGGTTCCAAATCAATGCAGTAAGGGTCAACTAACAAAGTACAAAAAATCAGGGTTTTGAGAACCACAAAAAGTTACAACCACATGTCCAATCTTGTCATTTTACTGAGACTATTAAATATGCTAAAGGTTACTGGTTGAATGGTTGAAACAAAGACACACAGTCACCTAGTGCTAATGCCAAACCAAGAACCCCAAATCTCTCAACACATGGCCCAGTGCTTCTCTGCTGAGAGGCCCTGTGAATGGCAAGTTCTAGTGAGTTCTGAGCAGCTGCCCTCTCTCCATCCCCCTCCATCCATACTTCCATCCCCTTGAATCAGAAATCAGCAAGGGATTCTCTTAAATAAGGACAGCATTCCTTCTTTATCTTGAGATAAATCATTAAGAGGTGAGTACCCACTATTCCCATACTCTAATCTCTCCATTCCTTTTCTGCCTCTTCTTTGTTGCAGTCGGTCAAAAGTTGATTTAAATGCCTAAAGAATTTAGCACATCTACTAACAAAACCCCAAAAGCAAAACTTAATTTCCTAACCACCTCCACACCCTCAGTTAGCAAGAATATTCCCCCTCCAAACATGCATTTAAAGGAAACTTGACAAGCCCAAACCCAAAACAAACAAATGGGTAAACAAAGCATTTCTTAAACAGAGCTGTTTATGTACCCTAAAATACCTAAATATTTCTCAACCATCTATTCCTCGGTTCTCAGACTTGTTCACCAAGATACATGCTTCTCTGGACTGCAAGAAAATACGGATACCTAAAGAATATATTTTAAACTCATAATACTCTATTAATTGCTTTTCTAAAGATGCTGATACTGAAATTGAGATTATTCGAACAATAAACCACCAAATAATTTTAATGCTTGGCCTAGAAAGAGCAAGACCAGAAATAAGGAGAAACATATCTGAAATTATTCTGGCCTTACCTGAGGTCAAAAGGTGGGGGAAGCTTACAGGGAAATGAATGCAAAATAAGTGGGTCAGCCAGGCACCATAAAAATAAATAAATAATAATAATAAGAAGAAGAAAACAGAAGAAACCATCCTTTAAAAAATAATAATAATAAGTGGGGAGGTGCAGAGGTTAGAGAAAAATCATAAGAGGCTCATGTACGCTTTCGGTTCACAAAACAGCAGGGATTTTCCCCACAAACATTAATTTTTAATTTTTTTTCTTTACTTTTCATTTTCTTTTTTCTTTCTTTTTTGCCTGCTGGGCTCCTCTCTATTTTCATGTTCAATTTCATGGAGTAGGTGTACTTGAAGGCTGTACTGGTTGTACTGATCCAGTTATGGTGAGCTCTCCTTCAGCGGGGTCTGCAGAACAACCAGCACCTTTCCCAGCCCAGAATTTCCTTCCACACTATAACATGGGAAAAGGTTCTTCCATTGGGAATGGAATGCTCAAAACAAAGCATTCCTGCAACTTAGAGGATGAACCTGCTGGACACCACAAACTTTAAGAAATGCCAGCCTTGACTTTTGTCTCTCTCTTTCACAATCTGAGAAGTCCCCAGCAGCAACACACCTCCATGTTCCTTTCAACCAGCACACAATCATCACACAGAATCACAGAGCCGCATGCCACATGCCACAGTCCTAGAAATGCTTCCTGCGGCAAATGACTGTGGATTTCACAGCTTTCTTAACTAAGGCTTCCAGAGAAAGCCTCTAAATGGCCAATGTAAATAACTTCTTGTAAATACATTATTTCTAACCTCCAGAAAAGGAAGCTTTTTCCATTGCTAATTTTACAACCACCTCTGTCTCCGACTGTCAGGTTCGCACTCTTGTCAATTTTACACAACGGTCTGTTTTGGGGTGTATGTTTTCCCTTTAAATCAGAAACTCAAAGGATTAAGAATAGAAATGGTGCAATTACAGAATGAAAATATGCTGAATAAATTTTATTTCCATGTGGTGAATATTTCTCCTTTGGGGAAAACAAAACAAAATTCTACTACCTAACACATTTATTTATAATTCAGTTCTCAAGCAGCGACGCAGTAACTCGATATCCACACTCCTGCTGCATTCTCAGAAGAGAATGCCTTTTCAACTCACTTCCTTTCCAGTCTGACAGTTTTAATCAGATGCATTTCACTGGACCAATATACAATTCAACATCCTCCTTCAGAAAGATCAGGAGCTGAGTGAGGAAAAAAATATAAGAAACACCTATTAATTTTCATGCCCTTTGGCTGGGGTTGAAGCAAGTGGGGATGGAAGCCTGAAAGTCCCATTTTAAATCTACCTACAAACTATTCCCACCAATCAGTCCACATGAATCCAACCAGCAGGCTTTCAAGAGAACGGGGCTCAAATTCTTAGGGCTCACCTGGGGTGGGGTGAGTCATGGTCAACCTTCTAACAGTCAATGTCTCTAACACCCTCTTCTTGTGACCACAGATGTGTTTACCTGGCACCTACCACATAACCTTCTGTTTCCTTTTCATCTAAAAATCTAAGTTTTCTCTTTCCACCTAATAGACATTTATAGCTAAGTAACTCTGCCTTTTAAGGCCATACATCTCCATCACTATTATCAGTTATTCCTATAATACCTACCACAAATCATACAACCAACTTTTATATGCAATTTTACATAAAAGTTATTGGT